ATCACACGTACACAAGAGTTCAATTAGGAATTGTAATTGGCCTAAGAAAAACTCTAGAAACTTAGAGAAAATGTTGTGAAATATTACATTTATACGAATTTCGAAATTTCTAAATTGGCGGCTGACAAATCCCTCAGTTATTCATGAAGCTATAATTTTAACAAGTAAAGGAAAGGATAGCTCGGCATGTAAAACGAACATTTTAATTCTTACAAGTTAAATGGTATACTAAATTTTTTAATATTTTTATAATTAGAAGTAGAACTGTTGCCTCAGCTTATTTACATTCACAGTGAAATTAATTTGAGCAATTTGTAAACTAAATTTACTCAAAGTTTTTTTGGTATACGCTTATAATTATTAATATTAGAAACATTACTAACTGTATGAGAAGTAATGAAGAGAAACATTATTTATGATAATGAATAAACATTTTTTTGTATATATATCGTATTATTAACAAGACGTTTAGCTTGAAAAAATCATATAAACAACTTTAAAAAATTATATTATCATATAATTTGTATATAATTATTTACACTTATAATTAAATTTATAGAGATTTCTTATAGAATATTCAATTATATTTTTTTTCGTCCTTATTACTATAAATCAGTCACGCTCGAACAACGCTTGCAAATAGTGCAATTTTGTTTCGAAAGATAATGGTCTCTGTGCGGAAAAACCCCGTATTTTTCGCCCACTAAGTTCTTTTTTTAGCGGATTGAAGCGCACTTCTGTGGAATGGCTACGTCAACCAAAAAAACCTGCCGCATTTGAAGTAAAGCTAATCCTCAAGTTATGTAGAAACACCGTACATTCCAAAAAAAGTGACTTTGTTGCGCTTTATGGCTGGGTGAATCATTGCGCCGTACTCATCAAAAACGTGATGCCAGAACTACGTCAATTGTGATCGGTCGTAGAACCTGATTACTAACTTTTTTATTCCGATAACAACCATGAGGTCCAGAGCTATGGTTCCAACAAGACGTGCAAACAATTTCACACAGCTATGCCACAAACGATTTATGCAAAGGACCACGTTGTTGACCGCCTATTTTCAACGTTTTGGACCTGTGGAATTGGCCTCTAAGATCTTTGATTTACACCGCTAACTACTTCTGTGGCGTTATGTAAGTCATTGGTCTATGCGCATAAGTTTGGAAGACAAACATTTGCGTTTATTGCCGATATACGGCAAAAAATGTTGGAAAAAGTCATCGAAAAATTGGACAATCCGGACGCCAGAAATCATGTTTAAAATGTAATGCACAGATTACTTTCGATTAAATAAAATTATGTCCAACGAATTAGTCATCTTGTTTTATTGCCAATTTAAAGTTCTATACCTCTAAAAATACCGTTTTACACATAAATTCAAATTTTTCTTAGTTAGATTATTTACAATTTTTCTTTATATTGTCTTCAAAATTACTTGCCACTAATTCGATTTAAAAATTAAGAACTATTGCTCTAAGTCTGAAAACTTTAGTTCGAAATAGAGACACAAATACTGTCATGATAGCTCTGTACTGTCTCAAAAGTAATTGCATTAACATGGGAAGGATCTCTGCATAATCAATTTGTGTAACGGCAGATGTAGTTGAATATTCCACACCAACAGGGAGCTAAAGTTTTTTTCTTGGAGCAGATTTCTTATTGTAGTCCCTGTAGACATTAAACAATAGTTAAAATCTCCAACAATTAGCACATTTTGATTGCATAACTCAGAGGTAAGGGCTTCCTGAAGTTCTACAATTAAATGTTTGACAGAGAAAGCTAAATTTCTGTATAGAACCAGAATATTAATATCGAAACAGACCCGTTTATTTCTTGTTTCCGTGATATCTATCCTCAGCTCGTTAATTGGAGTAAATCCTGGTATATCAAAACTTTCGCAAGGATAACTTCAAGTTTCTACAAAACATAAAATATTTCAAGAAAATAGTCGCTTTTTATATAATTAATGTGAGCGTGAAGACTCTGAACATTATGGAATAAAATTTGATGTTCTGATGTTCGGGAAATTATAAAATTGAAACTTTTTGTCAGAGCTTTATTTGTGTTCACTCAGTTCCTTAAACACAGGATTCGATTCAGAAAATTTGTTAGGAGGAATATAATTTCCTATGATGAATAGACCTTCTGCAGAAGTAGCTAGACTACAAGCGACATATTATATATTGAAGCTCTGGGCATTCTGGGTCGAGTATGAACAACAACTTTGTTAGATGTGGCACCCTGACTTTTACTGAACAGTTCATTCAATTGAGATTTGTTCATTTCTTTTATATTGAATAGATTTTAGAACTTTTTCAATTGGTGTCCAGAAACTGAGGATGAGGCTTTTTTGATCGTCCTATCAAACCAACAGAAGGTTCCAAAAATTTAGTTCACAGAGTTGTTGAAAAAGAACAATGGAAATCAATTTGCATAAGTTGTCCAGCTGCCCCATTAACCCTTATGTTAATATCCAACTTTACCGACGGCTTTTAGCAACCTGGTACTAAGTATTAAAAATTTTGTTTATTTTATTTTAAAAAAAATTTTATTCAAATATTAATAGTCAGTGACAATTTAAAGAAAAAAAAAATAATAGCAACGTAGAATCGTGAATAACATCTGAAACCTATTTGGGACACCCCAGGTAGTCGGCCGGCTTTTATTGTCCGGAGGCGAGCAGATGCCGTTCGAGAGAGAAAGAAAAACTCAAGGTTATTTTTTGTTTTAGTATGTAACAGATTGTTGGTGGGATCAGACGGGTTTCATTTGGTGTTCTCTTGACAGTGAAAAATAAAGCTATGGAACAATTATCGAGAGCTGACTATCCTCGGTAAGTAAACGTTACATATATTTAACATTTTTAAATATCTTAATTACATTTAATTTTGTGTAATATAGTTATAATTATTTACGACGTATATCACATAATATTTAATTTATTGGGTTAAGTGCAACCGAATAGAATGAGTACTTAAGGAAACTACTTGGAGAACACGACAGTGATTCGAGTAGGGTTTCTGATAGCGATGACAAAGACTGGATTTCAGCAAATAGAGCTAGACATCAAAATCAACAAGGTAATTCAGTGCGTGACGAACCAGAAGATTCTGAAGATACAGAAGAAATCGCTGAAGAGAATTCAGCAGTAGAAGAAGAAGTTGAGAGTAGCGAGAGTGAGGATGATGACAATGAAGTAGAAACAGCTGAGCCTGAAAGTAGTAAAATATTGGTTTTTAGCAATGATTGAAATAATAATTATTTTTCTTAAATAACTAATTAATGTTGTTATTATTATTTTAGGAAGAGCTCAAGAACCATCTGGGAGTTTTATTGCCAAAGATAAAATAGTGTGAAACAAAACTCCACCAACTCAGCATCAGACCGCAGCTCATAATGTTGTACGCCAGCGGAGTGGGCCTCATCGCAGTACGGAAACGTTGTCAATTAGCGAGACTTTCAAACAAATTTTTACCTACGAAATGGTTGATATAATCGTCCGTCACACTAATAAAAAAGCTGAAACAATTTTCCAAGAGTACAATGCTAACCATCCAAACTCTCTAATCTATCTATCTCTCTAACTAATTTCTATACAGATCATACATTTGACATGTGGCACTCCAATTCTTATCCGCTGTATGGCGCGACGATGGGATTGACGACATTCCATAATGTTCTGCGTTTTTTTCGATTAGACGGTGGTAATACTCGAAGTGAACGTAAAAAAGAAGACAAGACAGCTCCAATTCGTGATGTGTGGACAATGTTGAATTCAAATTAAGCTCAGATGTACAAACCAACAGCTAACTTGACGGTCGCACTGGATTTACTCAATATATTCCATCGAAACCAGCTAAGTATGGTATAAAGATCTGGTGGATTTGTGATCCAGAAAACGCATATACTT